TGACAGAACATTGCTAGAGAGCAGGAAATGAGGTGAAAGGAGACAAATTTAGAGAAGAAAATTTTTCGGTTGCTTCCCTGATTCGAACCCGGGACCTTTTGAGTGAGAGGCCAACACCTTAACCTCTAGGCCACGAGAGCCCCCTTCCCTCTCTCTACACAGTTTCATATTATTTGTCGAGCACTGAAATCTGTTTTTTTTTTAAACCAGACGTCAAAAGACATTATTTTGGTATCAGTGTGAAGATTGCCTACGGTTAAGGTTAACTTGGGTAAGAAAGCATTTGTTCTGCTACTGAAACTAAATTATTGTTCGTGTGTTGTTGGAAAGGAATCCTTCCGATTTCGCAATTTTCACCCTGAGTGTTTTACAACAGTTAAAATAAAGGGCAACTATGTTGGACTACCTTTGCAACACTGTAACACTGTACCTTTCTGTAAGAGTCTGGACCTCCGAAGTCGACATCCCTCTCCAAAATGACCGAACCGACAGGAAAACTCATGTAAAATACCTTTCCCAAGGACACAATGATGTGCTCAGCTAAACCTCGAAAACTCAAACCCGGATTCTCACGATTACGGGTCTGGAAGCCAAACTATTTTAAAAAGTAAAAAACTACCGACGCTACCACAACTGATATAATATACTCCTCAAACAAATACACATTATAAAAACGAAGGGGAGTTAGGCCCACATTTACACGAATCGTTCCCTTGAAATACGCCGACAACCAGGCACGCCAATGTCTGTAGTGTAGTGTTTAGGCGACTCACTGTCACATGCAGGAGAATCGAGATTGATACCGAGTTTGGATATTAATTTATTTTTTAAAAACCGAGTATGGTATTTCTGTTGGGATGTCGTATCCGTCTCAGCTGGGGTTGGCCCTGCCAGGCAGGGTCAGAAGGCTGTCTCCTCAACGATCTAAACTGTTCGATAGGGGCATAAAAACACCTACATCAAAACATGAATATATAAAACCCATGAACTGTGAGAGGAACTGTGAGAATAAATCTTGTTTAAAATTTGAAGTCTGTGTGGTACTATCCAATGGCGGTGGATGGACTAAAATTTGGGTGGGGGCTTAGGTTGCTTCCAGTTCTTTACCACCAAATAGCAGCAAGCAATAAGAACTAAACAGTGATGATTTTTCTATACTCACGGTAAGCCACGGCAGTTTGAGAACCATTCAAACGAGAAGAGTTGCATTTGTTTTCCATCTCTTTGTTTTTAGTTAAATTCTTGTTGATGGTGGGGACGAAGCCGATTCGCCTCAAAATTTCCTCTAATTAGTTTTCCTGTAATGAAAAAGTTGCCTTAAAAGTAGTTCGACCTGATTTATAACTGTTAAATCTCAGCGGCACAAACATGCACACACAGCACTTCAAACATAATACTTCTGTGAGCTGGATTAGGCCGTGTAGTCGAGAAAGTTGAACGCACCCAACAAAGAACCAATGAGCGCATAGGTATCTGTGTCAGTGGGGGAAAGGATGTCGTAAACTTTCACCCCATTGTCAGGGCTAGGAGAGCGTGAGGCCGCGGTACAGTGTTATTTTTTCCCAGTCTTCTACCTTTTTGCAAGAAGTTTCATTAATGACGGGCTGTGGGAAAAGGGCTCATCTTAAAGACATTTGAATGGCTACTGGGTTACTATAGTTGTAAGCGGTGACAACAGTGATTGGATAAGCGAGCAAGCCGCCAAGTTGATCACTCTGAGTTCATTACGTGCGGTCATAACTGGTTCAACTGCTTATTTCTTAACTTTGGGATAGAGTTGGGGGTGGTGGGTGGGGAGGGGTAGGGGCTTAAGCCCGTGAGCCCTTCACTACCCACCGCCACTGGTACTATCTCTTTGAATAATATTACGAATGAGTTGGTTGGTAACTTAGGAGGCGTGAAGGATGACATTAGTTCTACCTGATCAGCTACGGTCAGGTCACAGATTTATGATAGAGCATGAAACTTAAAGCAAATAGTAAACAAATAACCAGCTCGAGACTATCAGGTGTAATTTTGAGTTTGCAATTTCATTGCTCACCGCTGTGTTCCAGCCCCCCAAAAATGTTTTTGAACGTTTGCTTAGTGTTGGAAGGTTTTTCTTAAAGATTCGTTTTGCACAAAATACTTGAAAATATTTGAATAATACAGATCTTTCCCCAAAACCTTCAAAGTTATCTATCTCCAGCAATGTGCTTTTAAAGTTTCTCCACCTTTGACGGTGTTTATAAGTCTGACTTGAAAGAAAACCTTTTTTGTTCACATTTCCACAGCGGTTGTCATAGGTATTACGGTATTAGTAAGTTGTTTTTCAGAGAAGCTACGCCACCTCGGCCACTCGGCAAAACATCTGGTGTCGCCAGATACATGTGTCAACCCAATGACTAAAGGCTGGCTCGGGCCCGTGGAGCTTTTCACATTGTGAGAACTCACACTCAAGTATTATGTAAAAGGTCTGAGGCTGCCCGAGAACTGACGAGTGTCGGATTTTATTTTTTAAAAATAGAACGTACGTCTAAGGGTCCTTGACACATATACATAGGCTAGCTTTTGATCCGGCTGAAATTTCAGTTTGAATTTACGTAAAGTTTAGCTTGAGATGATAATGTAATTGGTTGCTACTCGTTTCCCCCCTGCACATGACAGTAGCGCGAGACATATCTAAAGTAGATGAGGCAAGACTAGCCACAGTTTGTCTCTTGTCTCCATTAATCTATCACTTTTTGCAAATGGTAACCGGTGCCATCCCGATGTACCGCCAGTCCTGCTATACCGCCAAGTCCATGCTTGTTTATTATTTCGCGGTGTATAAAAATCTAAAATAATCATGCCAAGTGTTTTAAAATAACATACCATACAGTTTAAAATACAGTCCAAGAAACGGTGACACAATAGTTTCTGTCATTCTTTAATCATGTTTCAACTGACGTAAAAACAACAACAACAACAACAACAACAACAACAACAAAAACGTTTTGTACGTGAATGGAATAGGAAATACACAAGAGAGGAAATTATACTATATAAACATGAAACAGAACAACAGAAGAGAGTGTGCATATACTGTCATGTCAAACATTGTATAAGTATAAGATAACAAAGTTTACGGATATTTTTCAGTTCTTCGTTTATACACCCAAAAGGCGTGAGTTCGATTTCTGAGCAGTCACGTCTATTTTATACAGTATCTCAGTCTGGGGTACTGCTTACCATTCAGCCCTGATCGAAGCAATCTGTCTCCTTATTCATGTAAATTGAGAGTTGATGGTGATGTAAAACTTTTACAATAATGAACAACCAATTAGTAGTCGTTTTAGTGTGCCATTGAACAGCTTTTGAAGTCACTTGGTGCTTGAAAACACATCTCCTTAGATCCAAACAAATATCCTTAAAACTTTCCGTGTCTTTTTTTTTTTCAAACGCGTTGATATTTCTTTCTTTTGATTTTGAGTTACTTTTATAATCAAAACTTCACTGTTGTTCTCCTTTTTAACGTTGATTTTACAACATATTTCGACGGTCATGTTGGCGTATGACCGTATTTCTTTCATGCCAGAACTTTCGTAAACGGAGTCGAAAAAAAAAACGTATTGCTCTTCGGCCGGTTCATAACCAAAACTATAATACATGTACAACTTGCTATGTGTTCTCGATGACGAGCGACGCTGATTGGGGACGTGTCTATGAAGTTCCTTGTCTGCCATCACTGTATACGTTTAAGTCTCTGTCAAAACTTTAAGGTTACTTAAGAGGTGGGGCCTCACAATTTGACGTCTATCTCTAATAGGATGGCGCCAAATTAGTGGAGAACCTTAACAATTGTTTAGTGTCGCTTCTCAAAAAGAAATTAATATAACCTTCTCTTCGAATATTCTGCTTTGACATGGTTTAAGATTGTAAAGGGCAAGATGACCCAATCCCTGTAAAAAGATGTCGAGCACAATCAATAATATAACAGTATGGTGCTTATCAAGACATTTTGTTTCTTGTCTCTTTCGAAACAATCTGTGCTCCTGCCTACCTGTGCCTACAATCTTACGCAACGTGTCATAAAAATCGTTGTATATAAATATGCATATGCGTGTATACATTAATTAAGATGTAATTTTGAAGACTTCTTTATCGTCTTTTAAAGTGATGATCTCTTGTGAGCTATCCTGTAGTACGCATTCTTTGACACCACCAAGCATATTTGTACACCTGCTTCAAAGAGTAAATTTTCAGTGGAAAAATGTCACTTTGCTTACTAGTCGCCGGACCCTTCGACAATGAACATTTCCTTCCCTATTCTCAAAAATCCGAAACGCTTGTTCAAATAAGAGCGATTCCAGACGAGAAGAACCAAGAAAATCGATGCTATCGTTGAAAAATATATTAGCAGCATGTAGCTGTACCACATAGTGGATATTTCTTCCATGAGGAACGACAGAAGGATGGGGTTGACCATTTTTCCGAGGGAGTTTAAAACAAATATGTAGGAGGCAATCGGTCCGGTTATGTGTAGCAGCTCGGATTCTAAGAACATGAGTGTGGAAGCCATCACTGCCGCGAGTCCAAGGCCGCTGGTAGCCACGAATATACTGAGGGCGAGGGTTGAATCGAACACTGCGCTTAGAGACAGGCCGATGAACGAAGAACAGACGAAGAACGCGCAGAGGCCCAACATTCGGATTGGAGACAGAAGTCGCGAAACGAAGATGGCGAAAAATCTGGCCGCTGCGGAAGAAGCCCAGAAGATGGCGTTGATGTACGCAGCCCGTGATTTCGTCATCGAGGAGAACTCAAGAACTGCAAACGTCATGAGAAATGAGATGAAGGTATCCTCCATGCAGGAGTAGGACACGAAGTAAGCAACGAACAGACACATGAGTGCGGCAAATAGACGGCGAGGCAGCTTCCGAAAAGTTGTATCCATGACTTCTGACTGCTGACCCGAATGCCTTTTTTCACTCACTCCCCGATAACGGAAAAACATCCAGGCTAAAGGAATCGAACCAACAATAGCTAGGAGACCCGTTATGAGATACGCCCAATGAACGTCCGTTTCTCTGGCGCGCGTTTCTGAATGATGAGTCGAATTGAACATGACTTCCTCCAAATGCGTGACATTCCTTGAGCTGACGTTGTACACAAAATGGCCAGCCCCGTTGAGTATTGCTTCTACGCTTCCTCCATCTTGTGTGAAATTAGAAGTGGTTGAAGACTCCAGTTCTGCGCTGGCCAGAAGAGTTGTGTTGGTTTCTGTTTCTTCCAGTTGCGGTGCCAGGAATGGTTCGGTGTATAAGGGAGATAACAGACCTCCCGCGGAAAAGGCAAAGTGTATGAGCTGCAGCAGTGTTCCCCCTTCGTCGCCCCACAGTCTCATGTGTTCTGCATTACTTGCTGAAGAACATTGGAAATAGAGAAAACGTAGTGTGGTTACTACTTGTTTGTGCTTTTAAAACAAAACGAGACAACAACAACAACAACAACAACAACAACAACAACAACAACAACAACAACAAACAAACAAACAAACAAAAAGAAATTTAAAAAAATGAATTTCAA